GCCCCCCCCGGCCCGGGGGGGCGGGCCCGCCCCCCCCCCCCCGGGGGGGGGGGGGGGGGGGGCCGGGCCGGGGGGGTGTTTGTCCCCCCCCCCCCCCCCCCCCCCCCCCCCCCCCCCCCCCCCCCCCCCCCCGGCCGCGGGCCCCCCCCCCCCGGGGGCCCCCCCCCCCCGGGGGGGGGGCCCCCGGGGGGCCGCCGCCCCCGGGGGGGGGGGGGGGGGGGGGCGGGGGGGGGGGGGGGGGGCCCCCCCCCGGCCTTCCCCCCCCCCCCCCGGGCCCCCCCCCCGGGGCCCCCCCCCCCCCGGGCCTACCCCCGCCGCGGGGGGGGGCCCGCGGGGGGGTGGGGGGGTTGGGGGGGGGGGGGGGGGGGGGGGGGGGGGGGTTCGGGGGGGGGGGGGGGGGGTCCTGGGGGTTTTTTTTTTTTCTTTTTTTTTTTTTTTTTTTTTTTTTGTTTTTTTTTTTTGGCGCCCCCCCCCGGGGGGGGGGGGGGGGGGGGGGGGGGGGGTTTTTTTGGGGGTGGTTTTTGGGGGGTTGGGGGGGGGGGGGGGGTTTTCGGGTTTTTGGGGGGTTTTTTTTTTTTTTTTGGGGGTTTTTTTGGTTGGGGGGGGGTTTTTTTTTTTTTTTTTTTTTTTTTTGGGGGGGGGGTGTTGGGGGGGGGGGGGGGGGGGGGGGGGGGGGGGTTTTGGGGGGGGGGGGGGGGGGGGGGGGGGGGGGGGGGGGGGGGGGGTTTTTTTTTTTTTTTGGGGGGGGGTGGGTTGGGGGGGGGGGGGTTTTTTTTTTTTTTTTGTAATAAATGTTTTTTTTTTTTTTTTTTTTTTTTTTTTGTGCTCCCGAGTCTTCCCGAGTAAATATAACCTTTGACGAAGGTGAAAAATGAAATTCCTATGAACTACAGTGGATAAGGATATCTTCCCTAAAGCTACATTTAATACGTCAAAACTCTTAGATTACTTTTTACGTTAAGTTATTGTAAAATATAAAAACGGTTATTCAAATAAGACGTTGCGTGAGTCATATTTATCAGTTTATTTATCGGTGTAGGTTTGAACTTTGAGACTTAATTTTCCTCAACGCAAAGTTTCCGCTGCAATTATTATATATTTATAGGATCCTCTGATCTTTTTGAGTTATACAGAGTAAGAAAAACATATTTACATCTTTCTTTAATTCGCACAAAACATATAATTACAAATAAGATATTTTTAGGAGAGCAAATGAACTAAATTGCATTAATGAGAAATGTTGCTTATACAGTGTAACAAGAAATGGTTGTGTGTAAATTGTGATGGTGATCCAATCAGCAAATAATCCCTTTCCAACGAGGCAATCTGCTGCCAGGAAATGTCGCCACCGTCGGCCACTGCCACGGCCAGCAAATAATCCCTTTCCAACGAGGCAATCTGCTGCCAGGAAATGTCGCCACCGTCGGCCACTGCCACGGCCACTCGTAGATTTAAACCGACTGTACTTACAAGATATGGCCAATTCTCGACTATTGCTAATTCAAGCAATATAATATCTCCGTGAAAAAATTAAACTAATATCACACCAAATCTTTTTTGTTATTCGAACGAACATATTTCAATTAATTATAACCATCGAACCGGCACGGGCAACTGTAACCCGTGAAAAATTGTATAACTAAATCTTCCACATTAATCATTCTAGATATTGGCAAAAACCGCAATAATTCCAATGAATAATCCCGTCCTAACGAATAAGAATTTAATGTTATATGTAAAGCTCACGTATAGAAAGAAAAGCTCACACCTACTAACCATGGACCCGTTTTCGTTTTAGCATCCCAAAATGTTATACGTACATTGTGGACCCAATATAGCACAAGCGAGGTGAGATTGCTCTTGTGAAATATGTGTGAATTGGGAACAATTTTCCGCTAAGCCTTAACGATATCACTGAAATCTTTATTTGAATATCATGAGGGTAAATTTTATTCCATTGCCGATTTATTAAATATGTTTACGATATTAAAACGTGTATAATTTTTAATGTTAAAAGCCTTCAAATATATGACCTTGTGTCACTTGAATTGTGAATTGACGTCATGGATTTAGTGTATCTAAAATAAAATAAATCAGTGGCGCTACAACCTCTTTAGGTCTTGGCCTCTGATTTCTGAATCTGTTTCATGATCATTTTTAAATCTAATAGGCAAGTAGGTGCTCAGCCTCCAGTGCCTGACACACTCCGTCGACTTTTTGGGTCTAAGACATGTCGGTTTCCTCACGATGATTTCCTTCACCGTTCGAGCAAATGTTAAATGCGCACATAGACAGAAAGTCCATTGGTGCACAGCCGGGGACCGAACCTACCATCTCAGATATGAGAGTCACACGCTGAAGCCACTAGGCCAACACTGCTCTAGTGTATCTACATAATAAATATCATACGAAATCTCTTGCTAAAATCCCTATGCACTGCAGTAGACGGTTGACTAGAAACAAATATCCATTTTACACAACTTTAACAGATTGTCGGGTTTACAATAAAACGGTGATGATGATGCATGGCAAACCCATGCGACTTCTTCAATACAAAGAGTCCCCTCGAGAGTTGTGTGCTGCGTTATTGCGAGCTACTCGATTGTGAGGAAGTTGCATAGACCTGGTTAGCGCTGCGCCTTCATAAGTTCTTAAATCATTTTCACACGTGTATATCCCATTTTCTTACATATTTTCATAAGTACTCGATTGTCTTCATCACATGTAGCATTTTATTCCGATGAATTTGAAAGGTTGGTTTTTGAACTAATTTTAATCAAGTATTTGAAAATATTATTAATTAAGATATTTTTATAAGTAGTTTCCTCAAACATCTAATGAGAGAAAAAGTTGAAACGCAAAACTTGTCGCAAGCTCTCTCTTAGCGTGGACTAACTTCCTAACAAACTTAATTTATTTAGTACGGCTCTTAAGAAAGATTCAATATTAAGACTAGTTATATCCACTCTTATTCACTTTATCTATTTAGATAAATACCTTGCCTTTGCAAGATTTCTTTTTAGATTTTTATTTCAACTAATGTTTGTTGAACTGAGAATCTTTACGCAACAAATAAAATATGTATATCGTCTAAATATTAATACTTTTTTAATTCATCTAATACATTTGTATTTACCATTTTTTTAACCTACAAAGTAATACTAAAAATTATTAAAAAGAAAACTAAAACAAATTTAAAAAGCTTGGTCCCTGTGGCAGTGTACCTTTTACTTTTATCACCCTTTCGTCTAAATTTGATTTGACTTTAGAAAAGTTCACGACAACATGTCTATCCTGTGAGGATGTCGCATCAAAACTTTTTTACCGTATTTTTCAATTAATTCAAGTATCAATAATTGTTTTGGAGGCTGTTTTGATAAACAGGATATGAATCAAATAAATTGTCCTTGACATTATTTGATTTCAATTAATATCATACAATATAATACTTATGTACTCGTGACCCATGTGCGCATATCTTTTTATTTGGGCCTTTAATAAGCGTTAAACTTATTAGTATTAAAGAGAACTTTTAACTATAACCCCAATGCAGCTTCGTATGTCTAAATGATAAGAAAATTTTATGTTTCAACAATTTAAATACTTATAATACAATTAGCTTTTAATACGAAATCCATTATCTTTTATTTTTATTTCCATATCCCGTTATGCGCAAATAGTAACAAAATAATACATTCAAATTATCGCAAGACTCCGGCTGTAACTTCTACAACAATATAGCAACAGTAAAGTATGGAAATTCATAAACAGCAAAATCAGGCTAAATTGTACAATTTAAGCCGACTGACATTTCGCCGGCAGAGTTTAGTATTCTAGATAAATATCTACCGGACGAGACTTGAATCTGTGAGGCGTACCCTCACTGAATGTCAACTCCACCGACAGACCTTTTCAGAGATATTATGTGTTTTTGTAGCGAAAAAGTTATGGATATACTGTATTTGGAAAAATATAAATGTCTATTTTGGGCTACGTTGCCAATTCATTAATTCATATTCATTTCGTTATATTTGACATAATTAGACATAGACATAACATTGATTACTAACGAAACACACAAAATAGTAAAAATAAAAAATAATAAAAAATGTTTTTTTTTTTCTTTTAAAGAACACGGTAGGTTTTAAGTGTGCATGTGTGCTGTGGTTGTAATTGGCCCTGGCTCAGCATTATGCTGAGGAGCAGAATGTTCCACAGCACTGGTCATTCTGCCAGAGACCACAACAATTAATAAATGATTGCGATTTATGATTCATGGGAATTCATCACAGTAATTAATATTTAAAATAATATACGAAGCAGAGATGAAAGTATCTATGTGCTCCGTTACATCAGATCGCTTAGTTTATATGAGTATAGTATATTATATAATGTCACGCTAAAGTCAATTAGTATGCTGTATTTTCTCATGTTAGCAAACAAAAATTTAAAGCACAAACATATTATAGATATTCCTAAAATAATGCAGCCCAGCACCTATGACATCAACTGTAACGTAACATTATTACGAGCCCGCTACAACCTTATTACTGACTGCAAGTTATTGAGTTATTGGTGATATGAAGGTACTAATAGTAGTGTGCATGTAAACTGCCTCATTGATATAGTTTCAAATATGCTACCGTTCGACTGCAAGTTCTAGGTCATAAGCCACGGGGGTCTGGCAATACACATATTGTACTCACGTGTCTGCGTTTACAGAGCTGTAATATGATATCTTCCACAATAGTCTATACTTTAGCGGTAGCCGTCATAAATGAATTACTTTATTTAAAGAAAGAACCAGTTCAAAAATACCTGACGAATTACGAATAACGTGACGAATAAAAGACTATTGTATCATTTTAGTACCTATAGTTAATTTGATAAATAAGTAACGGCAATAGATAAATCACGGATATTCGCGCAATTGTAGGTGATTCGCCCGTAAGCGGATTTAAATTCGTTTCTCCGTCGCAGGTCAGATAATCCGGATGAAAATGGCCGCGTCCGGACATCCTTACAATCCGGTATTTTCTCTATCAGCCAGATGGAGATCCAATTAAAATCACCAATACGAGCTTGGGCTCTCATTCAGATAAAAAAAATATTCATTAGAACTTGAAACCTAATATGTACATTCAGACAGTAATCAGAAAAAGTGTAGTGAATTTGTATGTGATCTTTAAATATACCATTTAACTAACTCTTTTCGTATTTAATTAAGTGCAATACTACATGTTATGTTATTAATTTCGTACTCAGCAACAAATAAGTATTTATTATGATAATATCTCTATAGTTATATATCATTTTGAACTACAACCATTCATGATGATAATGGGATCGCTATCTCCTTATACAAAACAGACACTGAAAGTCTCAATTTTTAGTCAAAGATACTGAGAATCGGCAACGAACATGGTAAAGCAAAATAAATAAAGTATTTATAAAGGAAGGATTCTTAGCAAGTTGGGAAATCAAAGAATTTAGAATAATAATATTGTTTAAGTACAGAATCTTATTTGCAATCTGAGTGGAACGCTACTGGAACTTGGAGGAAAATGCAATGTGAAAATCGACAGAAAGTAAAAACGATTTAACTAAGTTAAGCTTTAGGATTTATTTCGTATGCAATATGCACGAGAAAATCTCAGTGGATGGATAATGATATTTTTATTAAGTGAAAATCGAGTCCAAAATTTGTTATTTTCTTTTAATAAACATTGTTTTTGTTATTTCCATTCCTATGCCTAAAGAGCAATCACAAAGCGAGTGAGGTAGAATATACTTACTTGAGTGCAATCCCCATTTTCCGTTCAACGAAACAGGTGAGTACGTGCGAAACGTGCTACAAGGCAATATTTTCAGTAATAATATAAATGTGGAATAGTGAAATCGTGTATTGGAAACGCTACATAATTCATGTCATCCTGGTGAGCTGCCGATATACACGGTAAATATTTCGTTTAAATTGTTGTTATTCCAAAACCGACTGTTGAAAGTGAACAATTTTTATCATTATAAAATCTACTACTACTATTATTTTGATAACTTACATTCAATAAATTCCTCGAAAACAACAAATTCAAATAGGATTGGGAAACATATAGTTTTCGCCGACAACACATAGTAAATCGGAGGCAATATGTTTCCACGGTCGGCGCAGGGCGCCACCAAAGTGCAAGCATTATAGTCAGTGGAGTATCCTGGACACTCCAATATCTTGGGCTGGTCCTAGATGCGCGTTGGAAGTTCAAGGCGCACTTCGTAACACGTATGCTCTCACGCATCTCGGCGGGCCAGATGGGGAGTGTCGCCGCCTATACGGCAATGCAGTGCGGGCGAAAGTATTATATGGGTGCCCGATAGGGGCGGATAAGCTAAATCAGCACATCAAAACCGTTCTCAGTAGTCGCAGAGACTATTCGCCATTAGGGTCGCGAGGGCGTACCGCACGGAGATCATCTTCCGCCATTCGCTTTTCGGTCGTCTTATGGAGATGTGACCATCAGGAATTTAAAAAAGTACTTACTGCAAAGACCGACAAGGCATCCACTAACAAAATGGGTTTCTATCAGCTGTGGGAGCTGCCTTTTCACCACAGAACATTTAATAACATCTTCACTGATGTTGAGGATGTTGGGAGTGCAACCAAAAATAGATCATGATACACAAAAAATAATAATAATAATCTAAAATGTTTCTTGAAATAGGATTTAAACAATGTTATATGATCATTTTTACGTTGTTTCTATTCCATCTTGACCAAAATACTACCTAAATTAATTCGTCTTGTCTTTTAAGTATTGATTAACGTCGACAAATTACTACAATTACGTAAAACAATTGTTATGCAATATTTATCCCGAACGCTCGTATTTAATATGTAATTAATAATTGTTAACACTGGAAAATATTCCTGTTATAAATTAATTAGGATGATAATGTAAGTCGCGGTCAGTGAAATCGTTCGCTGTCATCAGTTGATAACGATGTGGGTGTTAATGTGATTGTTTAATTTCCACGTAACGTAACGTAATTACTATTACCGGGAATGAAAACTACGACACTTTTAATAACTGCAGAATAATTATCACCTCTTTTGAATTAACTACAGCGCAACGAATATTACTTTTATAACTCGCATCATTTTTAGACCTGTATATATCTGCTCACGAAAGCCAATATTTTGTAGATTTTACGTTAAAACAACAAAAATGACAGGACGTGTTCAACCGACAATCTGTTGCATGATAAATATATTAAATATTTTAAATATAGATAAATCAGTTCGGTTTTACCAAGGGTCGCTCGACAGCCGATGCCGGTGTTGAGTTATATAGATATATAGTTAAGGCTTGGGAGGAGTCGCATGATGCTTTAGGTGTTTTCTGCGACTTATCCAAAGCATTTGATTGTGTCCAACACGAGACCTTAATTGGGAAACTCCGCCACTATGGCATCAAGAATACCGCACTGAATCTTCTGACTTCCTATTTACACGGAAGAACTCAGAAGGTTGAAGTGAATGGTAAGAGGTCCTCTGGGTCGGCAGTAGATATGGGGGTACCACAGGGCTCAATTCTTGGCCCTTTCCTCTTTCTTGTTTATATAAATGATCTACCTTTCATGGAATAGAGAAAACATCAGATAGTTTTGTATGCTGATGACACGTCCTTGATTTTTAAAATCAAACGACAAATAACAAATTTTGACGATGTGAACAATGCTCTGTCTTCGATTGTACATTGGTTTAGTATTAATAACCTTCTACTTAATGCAAAAAAAGACAAAATGCATTAAATTTTGTGCAAAAAATGCAAGGGTTATGGATACTAGACCAATTATAAACGGTGAGGAATTGAATCTGGATGATACAACTGTATTTCTCGGAATCACCATGGATTCAAAACTTCAGTGGTCCCCTCATATTAACGGATTGGCGAAGAGACTTAGTTCTGCAGCCTACGCGGTTAAAAAAATTCGCTCACTAACTGATGTCGATACAGCTAGACTTGTTTATTTTAGTTACTTTCATAGCTGAATGACTTATGGCTTATTATTATGGGGTCATGCTGCTGATGTCGAAACTATTTTCATCCTGCAGAAGAGGGCTATTCGTGCAATCTATAATTTAAAATGTAGGGAATCTCTTAGAGATAAATTCAATGAAATTAATATACTTACCTTTCCCTCGCAATATATTTATGAAAATATTATGTATGTATACAAAAATAGTGATAAGTTTACTAGAATAGAACATACGCATAATGTTAATACACGGAACAAACGCAGGCTGCAATTTCCCCGTACTAGACTATCTAAAGTTAGTAATTCTTTTTTGGGGAAAGGGATACTCTTCTTTAATAAAATCCCAGAGGCTCTTTTATCTCTGCCTTTCAATAAATTTAAGAAATGTATTAAAGAAAAGCTGTGTAAAAAGGATTACTATAAAGTCAACGATTATCTAGTTGATAAAAGGGCCTGGGACTAGTGCTAGACAGGCTACTTCTAATTAATTTGCGATATTTGTTTTAAATAAGTGTTGTTTGATGATTTGCTGTTTTAAAAGAGTACCGAGAGTTTTTTACGCCGGCTTTTTCTCTCGGCCTACACCCTCTGTCTTCTTTGCCGATGAGTAGAGATGCCTAAAAGTTCAAATTTAATGACGTGGAATAAAAGATACATGTATCTTATGTTCCACAATAAACATATTTTTTTTTTTTTTTAAATAAAATAAAATTATTTGTACAGAATTTGTTTGAGATAAATAAAGACAACAGAAAAACAAGTCTGTTTGTGTGTGTGCTATTTATTTATTACTACCTGAACTAAAACTAGAAATAAAATTTATATAAATAAAGTTTTATTATCTAATCTTCTATGATAATAATTACTTATTAATTTTCATATTATTAACAAACTAGCCCACACAAAAGCCTACCTTTTCTTTAAGTAATGGTTTTATTATAATGTCGAATTCGGACGTAGGTACTGTAGTCGAAATCAGTAGAAGTGTTGAGGGGTTAGAGTGCCGTAAGCAGTGGTTCTCCAAACGAGAGGTAATGGCCTTCCTCGAGACTCTTCAGCCTTCAGATTTCTGTCGTAATGACCTACTGCCAGCTCTACAGTCTTAAGATAGGCTTCAATCAAATTGTTGCCTTGTTTATTCTTTAGAATGGTCGTAAGAATATTATGGATACATCACTCGTAAATATACGTCCTATTTTACAGTTATACATATAAAAAATTTCTATTTAATGTATTTAAAAATAAAGATTACAAAAGAAATGAAATGAAATGAAATGAAATGAAATGAAATGAAATGAAATGAAATGAAATGAAATAGTTTATTCTTGTAAGTAGGACTATATAAATCACTTTTACAATGTCATCCTAAACTAGATGAAGTCGACATTTCCTAACTGACTGCCCTGAGAAGAAATGTCGAAACAAACTCGGGGGTCTTAGTCTCTTTTATAGTCCAGATAATACAATAATAAATTAATAAATTGGTGTAAACAAATGCAGAGTATTTACTGGACTGGTCTTTGGAAGAAAGAACCAGATCGATCTGAGCAAGCCTGTGCCAGCAGACGGCAAGCATGCCCCGAATAGCTCATGCAGCTCAACCATTTTTGAGGGAGCTGCACAACCCGGTACACAGCAATACCGCCAGTGGCACCATAAAAATATGTGGGGCAACAACTCACTCAGATCGCCAGCCCAAAATAACTATATACTAAAATGTATCAAATTATAAATCAAGCAAAAGAGTTTATGATATACCCGCATAATGTTTACACTTACAATGGATACAAAATGTATTTTTAAGGTGTACCTTAAAGCAAGGAAAAATAATGAAATTGAAAAATATAATCGTAATATAAACATTATTCACTTGGCATGTCAAAGTGTAAAATATTGTATGAAAAGCACAAAACATGTCAGTATTGTAGAAAAAGAAAAAATGAATATGCACTAAGCACAAACATGTCAATAGAATAAAATAAAATGCATATGCAAAAGCACAAGACATGTCAGATTGTAAATATGTACAACATGCAAAAAAAAAAAAAAAAAAAAGTGAAAGACAGCTTAAAAAAACACAACAAGCTGTATAGAGCAGCTCAATAGGCGTTTCTATCATTTAAATAATCGGATATCCTGTAATATCCTTTAGTTAATAATTTTGATTTAATAAAAAAATTAAATTTCTTAAGGGGAAGTTTACGAACATCCATAGGAAGTTTATTGTAAAAGCGTATACATTGACCCATAAGGTTGCTTATCTTGAAGGCGAGTAGATGAACTGTTAAATTATTTTTGTTCTAGTATTTGGGAGTGAAGATAGACAATTTGACAAAATAGGTTGTTTTTGTGAACAAAAGTAAATTTTCAAAAATATATTGTGAAGTTAAGTAGAATGTTTATCTCTTTGAATTTCTCTCGGAAGAAACTCTAGGACCCAGGTTATATATAGCGCGGACAGCTCTTTTTGTAAAAGAAGATTGTATAATATCCGCAAGTTTCCAAAGGAGAATGCCGTACGTCATCAAGCTATGAAAATAACTGAAATAAACAATTTGGCTGTATCCACATCAGTAATTTGTCTAATTTTCCTTAAGCATAAGAGTAATGAGCCTTCAGACAATTTGTTTATGTGTGGGCCCCATGTAGTTTGGCGTCAACAGTAATGCCAAGAAAAAAGTTATAAAGTCCAACTCTACTCCATTCAGTTGTAATTGGTGCTTAATGCTCACATTAGGGTAGAAAATTTTATTAATTTAGTTTTATTGAGTTCAAAAGCAGATAATTAACATTAAACCAATGACAACCTTAGATAGTGCCAAATTAACTTGGTCAAAATTTTCAGTTGACGCTTAACTTTAAAAACAAGCGAAGTGTCATCCGCAAATAATAGGATTTTGTGATCATCCCTTACACAAAAAGGTAAATCATTGATATAGATAAGAATAAAAAGGACCTAGAATTGAACCCTGGGAACACCCATAGTTACCAAGATCCTTTTGATTTTTGCCATTAATATCTACACTTTGTATTCTATTGTCTAAATATGAACTAAATCAAGAGCCTTATTTCTAATGCCATAGTGGTGTAGTTTCTTGATAAGTGTGTCATGGCAAACACAGTCAAAAGCTTTGGACAAGTCACAGAATATGCCTAAAGCATCCTGTGAATTCTCCCAAGCCTCGAATACATTTTTGAGTAGTTCCACACCTGCATCAGCAGTAGACCGACCCTTAGTAAATCCAAATTGTTTGGAATGAAAAAGATTCTGTCTGTTAAAATGCTTTAGCATTTGCTTTAAAATTATTTTTCTCAAAAAATTTTGCTCAGTGTAGGCAAAATTGAGATAGGGGCGAAAATTCGTAGGATCGGTTGTACTATAGATTTGAAGAGTGGAATCACCTTGCTTAACTTCATTAAGTCCGGAAACACACCAGATGCGAAAACAAGAGTTGAACACAATTGCCAGAAATGGGGAAATACATTCAATTATTGAGGATATTATTTGAATGACAACCCCCAAAGATGGTGGACTTTTTACTTCTAAATCTTTAAATGCATCTAGAATGTCCTTAGCACTAACAACTGTAAATTCAAAACTTGTCCCACATTCTGCGACAAGTCTTTAAGTATGTTG